TCTTCTATTCCATCGTCACCCGCATCCGCCATGCACTCCCCACCTCTAACTCCGGCGGGCACGTCATCTCGCGAAGAGAGGGCCAACGCAGAAGGACACAAGAAGCGCCCCAGCGATCCCGCCATGATGACGCCTCAGGTCTCGCCCCCGCATGAAGCTCCGCCAACGTCAATGGACTCGTCTGTGCAAAGTCCAAACGAAAGCCAATCTTCCTTACCAGTTCCCGGTTCTCCTAGGACCGCACCGCAATCACCTCGCCCTTCGTCCGATCTGTCCGGCGTAGTCCAGCCGCACCCAAAACGTGGGCCTGCATTCACAATGGGCCCTACGGGTGACTCAAATCCGGCTTCCCGGGATGCTAGTCCGGCAGGATCCGGAGGAGAGCGTACGCCAGGAACTTCGACTCCAGCACCTGGCTCCCGACCATATACACCACAGGGGGACAGGGACGATACCTACGCACGTTCGAAACGCGCGGCGCAATCGAGGAACCTGGATTCGCTCGAGGCCCGGTACATTTATGGCGGACGCGATGGGCGCAACTCGGCAGCATCGTCTATATATCAGCTACCCCGCTCCAAAGGAACTGAGTCTGATAAGGAAGAGAGCAAAAGAACGAGCATATTTGGAAAGAAAAAGACTCATTCCGATGCGGAAGACAGCAAATCGCAAAATGGGAAACAACATCATGGATCCATGTCCGAACTGAAGCGCTTCTTCAAGATTGGACACAAGAACAAGGACAAAGATAAAGAGAAGGAAAAGCGCAAAGAATCCCCCGCGCCGTCGGTCAAGAGTGCGAAGATCAAGTCGAACAAGTCAGGGACCATGACACCACCGGTCACGAACGGGGCTATGAGCGTACCATTCGCTGACGACCACGGCCTTCAGAGCAAGTATGGCAAGTTCGGAAAAGTACTGGGCTCGGGGGCGGGTGGATCAGTCCGACTAATGAAGCGAAGCAGCGATGGCACCACATTCGCTGTCAAGCAGTTCCGCAACCGTCATTCCTACGAGTCTGAAAAAGACTACAACAAGAAGGTGACTGCCGAATTCTGTATAGGCTCGACGCTGCACCATGGAAACATCATCGAGACCATGGACTTGGTGAACGAGAAAGGCGCCTATTTTGTGGTAATGGAATACGCACCTTATGATCTTTTCGCCATAGTCATGACGGGAAAGATGAGTCGCGAGGAGGTCACCTGCTGTACCTTACAGATCTTGAACGGAGTGACATACCTCCACAGCATGGGTTTGGCACATCGGGATCTGAAGCTTGACAACGTCGTGGTCAACGAGCACGGAATCATGAAGATCATCGATTTCGGGAGTGCTGCTGTGTTCAAGTATCCATTCGAAGACGAGATCGTACTTGCGAGTGGTAAGTCTGTTATGCCTTTCAGTAAAGCTCATTCTAACCCCTCCAGGCATTGTCGGCTCGGATCCATACCTCGCTCCAGAAGTTTACGACCTTTCCAAGTACGATCCGCAACCGACTGACATCTGGTCTCTTGCCATCATGTTTTGCTGCATGACGCTGCGTCGATTCCCATGGAAAGCCCCGCGCATATCCGACAATTCATACAAACTCTTTGTATCCCCTCCCAACGATGGACCGAGATCAATCACAGGCCCCTCCAAGTCGGCCACTGATCTTCAGCACAGCGCAGGTGACGATCGCCGTCAATCAGGAGTCATATCTGAACCTGCGTCTCGACACCAAACATCAGAGCATTCCGCCGACCATCGCGCTTCAACATCGTCGACGAGCCAGCAGCCACCGCAAGTGATCAAAGGACCATGGCGTCTTCTACGTTTGCTGCCCAGAGAGAGTAGGCATATCATAGGCAGAATGCTCGAAATCGATCCTAAGAAGCGCGCGACTCTCGATGAGATCCTCGAAGACAAGTGGGTCACTGGTAGTGCAGTGTGCACACAAGAAGAGGGCGGGAGGGTGCTCCGATGTGACAACCACGACCATACGCTCGAGCCAGGTGCAGGCGTCGCCTCGGCACCAAACACGCAACAAAAGAAATGAGCGTCGTTCCCGAACCCGATGAGGGTATTCTTATTTTTCCATATTGGCGTTTGGACGATTAGCAGGCGGGTGTTTACAGGCTCTTCCTGTCCGCATGATATGAGGTGTTCCGGCCCGATTAGAAAGGCGGTTCTTCTGCTCTTTGATTCTCACGCGTTTCGTACGCCTTTTTGTAATACCTTGAACGTTGTCATGTCAATACCAAAGATTGACGAGACCAGTATATGGAAGCTACGAGCCAAAAAAGTGTGATGGAGTTTGGCGTATGTAAATATCTGCGAGCCTCACGGACAAATGTACAAAATGCGATCAGCAAACCTTCCCCACGTTTGTTTCTAGTGCTTATATGCGGATACCGATGACGAAGGACGAGCTCCATTCAAGCAGACCATTTACTTCGAACATCGAACTCCGACCGACGCAATGCTGGTATAGTGTTTGTTTCTGGCCGATTTCTACTTTCCCCAGCCTTCGCTTGGCGTACCGTGCGGCGATCCTGACACTTCGAAACAAGCACCACGCACCTGACAAGCCCGAAACTGCGCATTCCCCGTTGCTCGAAACGAGCACACGGTTCAGTTCGCTCGATGGAGGATTCTCCGCACGTCAATCTGCGATGTCAAACAAGCCTTTATCCTGATCCAACGGCTTTACTCTGTCTGGTGGAGAAGCGACGCGTGTTTACGCAAGACATGCATGCAATGCCTCAGGTGTGATCTTCTTGATGCTGCGAGTGGATGACTGATGTGGAGAGCACACACGTCAGATCGCAGCATTGTTATGCCAAGCCGGGGCCCAGAGGATAATGTATGCACTGTGGTTGGCTGGCAGACGCGAATATGATGCGCGATGTGCGGGAGTTTAGTAGCAGCGATCTAGGCCGATTTCTGAAAGCTGAAATGTGGAGTTGGGGGCTGTTGGTTGGCGAGATGCGTGGGTGTTCTACCTCGAGACCTCATCACGAGGGGAAAGCTTATCGCACTAGGTCGCCATACTTGCCAGGAGTGGATTGGGGAGTTTGTCATTCTGGTGGGTGGGGGAGTCGTCTTTGCAGAGAGAAGAGGCATGCAGCAAGCACGTCTTTGCAGTAAACAACATGCGCATCCCACGCCTGTGTCACGATACTCGATGTCGACAAACGCCCGTTCGGCGTCCAGCAGCAACGCGCAAGCAAGTAAAGTGGGTCTCTGTGTATCGTCAATCGAAAGCAGGGGGTGTCATGTACAGCCGCTGGCCGTGGCAAACGAACGTGAAACGAACTACGGTATTACAAGACGCATGCTTGCGCAGTCTCAGCTTGTCCGCTTTGACGCGCGAAGGAAGCGTTTGAGATTGATGCATGAGTGGCCGAGAACGGGTTGGAGGGGTCGTTCAGGGTAAGCGCAAGCGAGCCCCGGCGCGGGACTCGCATGACGAAGATGGAGTGACGGCTGTCATCATGACAGATTTTGGGTATCAAGCGAACGGCGGGTAGTAGGTAGATCTGCCTTGGGGCGAATGAGAGGCGTAGGAGGCAGAGTTGCATGAATTGGAATAGGCCACGGTACGAGGAATCTGGATGTTCCAAGTTGCCCTTGGAAAAGCCACACCAGCATACCTAGGTAGATTCACTTTATTCTTCGCAGTAATGTGCCATCAGAATGCACAAAGGTATACACATCCAGGCTTTTGTCAGCCTAGAAAGAACAAGCTTCAGCATAAAGGGCCGGGTCTTGCATGGGTTGCATTTTGCAGATAGCCGCTTGTACAAGGCCAAGCTAGAAAAATAGAAACCACCACACCTCTCATCAAAAACCAACAAAGATGCAGACGCACACCAAAACGGATCCGCAGCCTATCCAATCCCGCTACACCGCTCTGGCCGTTGAATTGGTCCCATGATCCAGGTCCGTTTGTGTGCAGTCTTGTTGGCCCTCAAGCGTCTTATCTCTATTGCGGCCCCCAGCCAATAGCCATCGCATACACTTGTCTTCGCAGCTGAAGCACCGCGGACCAGGGGGGGTCAAAAAGGTGAGCTCAGGGTGGGCCTGTGAAGATCGTCGTCGCAGCCGGGCAGCGCCTCGACTCCTGCGCTTCGCTCCCACCCGCACGTACGCAACCAAGAAAGTGCGCGGAACGTACCATGACATGGCTTGTGCGTTTGTGTTGGACCCGCTTCGTGCGAAAGAAAGACCCCGTTAACGCGGGAAATCGTGTGTCTGAAAGGATCTGTGTTATAGGTGTCTTGGCTTGTAAGCCAATACTTTAACGCACGTTTTCCCACTTGTTCGCGATCTGGATTTTTTTGGTTGTCTGGCTCTTGCTTCTAGCCTCTCGTAACCTTTCCACATCGACGTACCCAATTCCCGCCGCACTTTGCACCTTACTTCATTTAATTACTCTGTCTTCCCTTTCCTGGCTGGTCCACCCACGTGTTTGACATACGCTTGTATATGTAATCGAATTTCGGAAAGCATTGAGCCTCTATAAGAAGGATGCGTCGCCAACTTCCCCCAAGCCATCTCAAGGTTCCGCCGGGTCCGCATGCGTTTCCAAGACAACAACACTTTCTGGGTCAGGATACAGTTGTCGTGAACCATTACTCGGGTTTTGAAAAGGCGATTCCTGCGATACCGTCTTTACCGGGATTCAGAACAAGTGCTGGTATGTTTGGCTCTATTTGGTTTTCTTGGGGATGGTCGTGTGCTCGGTTGCCGCGACTGGGGTTGTGATGTCAACCATGCTGCGACTTCGACGCGCGAGATATTTGGGTACGAATACGAGCTAACGCGCAACAACAGCATTCTTGACGTCGCTGAGCGCAAACCTCAGAATTGATCCAGATCTACCATCGCCGCTACCCACACCAACCTCGTTCCGATTGAACAACTTCGTCCAAGAACTTCCCTCCACATCGCTGTCCTACTCAACGCTGCCTGCACAGTACAATCCGTACCCTTCGCCTGCCGAATCCCAAGCCATGTCGTCGACCGAACCGAACGCGCCGGCGAAGTCGCCTACAGATGAACTACCGCAACTCTCTACCTACACTGCTGAGACAGAGGAGGACCGAATCGAAGGCTTACGCTTGGTCGCAGATTCCGTGGCACAACAGCGCCAGGTCGCCAGCAAGGTCATGCTGTTCCATCCAGTTTCACTAGCCGCGTACTTTGTGGTTGTGGCGTTTGCTGCGCAGTACATGCTACGCTGGTACGAGGACAAAACGATGCTGGCCACAACCATTGGAGGCATCACAATGACTTTCCTCATCTTCATTCGATGGATGACCGGTGGCTACATCGGTATGGCCGAGGATATCAACATGGATTGGCTGGGCGATGACAGGCTCATCGTGGTGAAGTGGGGTGAGGACGTCATCGGATCCTTGGTACTGGGTTGGGCCGATAATGATGCCGCGAAGAAGCGAGGCAGGAGAAGGCGAGGCAAGGCCGTTATACGCGCTTGGACTGTAAAGTTGAAGTACCGCGGTAAGGGTGTTGGTGGGGGCTTGCTGGAGGAGGCTGTCAAGGTGGCAGGAGAGCGAGGCGCAGATGGCATTGTCTTTGATGCCGACCATGCCAGTAAGTTCACGTCTACTCATATTCTCAGATCATCACTAACAGAACATCAGACTCACAGCGTATCCTCCCTGCCATCTTCAACGGTTACCTCAATAAGCAAGACGCCAAGGCCGAGAAGGCTCTACAAAAGGTTGCGGACGCGAAGGGCAACTTCCGCCAGCGTCAGAGCTCGCCCACTTGGGGCAGCAGGTAGACATATACCACAATTTTTCTATTTCAGGGCAGCAGATGGGGTGGTGTTTTGCTTTCATTTTGGCGCGGCGACGAGTTTTCTACTGGATGATACCCCTTCCTCTCGTTGATGATACCCCAAACGATCGTTATCGTTGCTAGCATCAAGCTTTCCGTACTTGTTTTCCCATGTTACCGTTTCGGTATCGAGCTCTTGTCGTTATCGTCATCATACAGATCATCAGAGTCATAATAGACGATTACAGAGTAGTTTTATTGGTAGATCACAATGACAGTGTCTAGCAGTTCTAGTTGCATAGCGGCCAACTCCGGTGACATGATGGCTTGCATCCCGCCTGGAGCTCATAGATTAATATTCACTGATACGGCCGCATACCCGGCTGTTCCGCACACCATCCTCAAACTCTGTGGTTGCAAGCCGGGAAGCCCTTATCGCGACATGTTTCCTGATCCATAGACGTGTGGGAAGACAAGCCGCATGTACTGATAACGATGCATTAACCTTTCGATATCAACACCTTGGCGTCAGATTCCGGTTCGCTGGTAGATTTGCCCCGCGTTGCTCGCTACTGCCCCTCCATGTACAAGGGGAGATTAGGCTTTCCAGGCTTTCCGTCAATGTTGCATGATGCATGCCAAGTATGTACATGCGGAACCGTAGGCGATGGCTTAGCAACGCCGATCTGTAGGGAAGTTGGATTCTGTACTGATAGCGTTCCAGACTCTTCACGGGAAAGAAGGAACAACAGCCGCTACTGGTCAACCTGCCTCTCTCGCTCTTTGGTTGGTTTGCAAGTGAAGTTGCAAGCTTACACACCGAACCGCCGTGTAAGGCTGCACAAGAGCAGTTTCGGACTCCGAGTCTAATCGGTTCAACGCGCGGCTGCACCGGCCTCTGTGTCACCGTCGACTGAACTCGTTGGGTATTCCTCGCGTAGCTGCAATATGACTTTCTGTGGCACAGTCAGTATATTTAGTACTCGGGCCAAAAAAGCCTCAACTTCAGAGGGACAGTGCGAACCGCGCGCGAGGCGATCTGCTGTTACACCTTGCTGTGCCGCAGAGCTACGTACCGCTAATGCCTCCGGGTTCGCGCCGTTCTCGATGAGCGACACGCAGTAAGACAGTTGTTGCCGATCAAGGTGGGTGTTCTGGGGCTTATGTCAGATGTTGGGCGCTTCAGTAAGGCGCGATGTTTCGTACTAGCAATGTTGCGATTTCATGAAGAATATCGATGACTTCGCGAGCGGCCTTTCGGCGGGCGTCGGCTGAGGTTTGCTCGGCGGCTGGCATCGTCGGTGTACTGTGTAGTTCTGGAGTTCTTTGAGATAAGACGAGTCTGGAGTTGCGGGGTTTGTTGTTTGTTTACAGTCTGTGTGGATTTACGCAGGTCAAGTCGCGTGTAGGAAAGAACCACACACGCGGCGCGTTCCGCACGTGAGCTCCTTGGCGCATCTTGCCCCTCCAGGTGCTCCATCGGAAAGTCGGTCCTCACAGCACAATTCCTTCACACCAAGAGGGTGTTCTGACATCACCATCATTATGACGACAGATGGCCCACTGGTGCTCAGGCACGTAATGACAGAGGTTTATAATGAGAGCTCGCGTGCTTGCTGGAAATACTCTGTTGCTAACACACAGCTTCATTTGACCATCTGATCAATTCCAAGTTTCTCGGCGTCTATAAACTTCAAATTAGTTCTTTCAATCGTAATTAGATCAGACATCATGGCACCAGACCCGCACCAAGGAGGCCGTCTAGAAGACATGGCTGCAGAGGGCACAACCATTCCTGGCGATGCTGGCAAGATGAACGTGGTAAGTTTCGACATCGGATCCAGGTATCATATGCTTCTGTGAAGTACAATATAACTAACCAAGATTCAGGTTCCACCCTCTGACCATCCGGATCAGACTCACACGAATCTCGCACATGCAGCAGATAACGCTTTCGACATACCGCGCAGTGTGAACGACCGCGGACAAACAGGCGAAGTCATAACTGGTACTGGCGACCAGCTACCGTCAAGTATTGAGAAGAAGAACCTGGATGACGCGGGCTTCGACCCAAGAGCCAAGGGCCACGACCAGTACGCGAAGCATGCTCGGCAGGATAATCCCATGGACAGCTTGAAGCATGGAGCTGGTAGTCATGACGTGGAGGCTGCGCCGGGTGAAGAGGAAGAGAGTCAGGACGCGCTTCTAAACAAAAGGGGCGCGAAGTAGGTGATGCAAGACGTCGCACTTCCTGTATATATTCTATGACGTTACGACCACAAAATCCAAGAGGTGCAAAATCAACGCTTCGAGAAATTGCATCCTCACGTCCGAGTCGTGATCACTGTGATGTGTTGCATGCTTTGCTACGGACCCTTAAGTACCTAGGGCTGTGGATACCCCGCTAGACCCCACACGTACTTGCCAATTTCACGATCCCGGCAACCTTCTCACTTGCTGCTTGACCCAGACACTTGAGATCAAGCGTTCCTGTCCGCAAAATGGTGTACTACTTCTCGTCCAACACGGTGTCGCCGTCAGCCTTCATCTACGTCGGCAAAGACAAGGTTGAGAGTATGTAATTTCTGGCCCGTTGTCGTGCTCCCAAAGATCCACGAAACTACACTCACACATACTGATCGCTTCAATAGATGAAGAGCTTATCAAATACGGCTGGGACGAAGATGTCTGGTTCCACGCGGACAATCTCTCCTCAGCCCATATTTACGTCCGGTTGCCCGAGGGCGAAGATTGGGAAAACATGAGCAAAGAGTTGCTGGTGGACTGCGCCCAACTAACCAAGGCGAACAGTATTGAGGGCAACAAGAAAGATAACGTTACAATTGTGTATACGCCTTGGAGCAACCTGAAGAAAGATGGGAGTATGGCTGTAGGTCAAGTTGGGTTCAAGGATCAGCGAAAGGTAAGCGCATTGCCAGGCGGGCACAAAACGGTTGCGTCACGTCCCTTGGCTCGACCGCAACTTATTGCTCGGTTTGCTGATAGCATACTAGGTGAAGCGCATACATGTGGAGCAGCGAGAAAATCCTATTGTCAACCGTCTTAACAAAACAAAAGTTGAGAAGTACCCCGACCTAAGAGAGGAGCGAGAAGCAAGGCGGGCGGAGTTAAGGAAGCGAGATCAAAGTGCTCTGCAAGCCAAGGTATGTGTATTCCCCAAGGCTCGTTATCCTGCTTTGTTCTGCATGTACTATGTTCGCATGACCCCCTTTTCCAACTACGTCCGTTCTGATGATCTATCCTGTCATTTGCAATCTCTCCGACACTCTGTATCTCCTACCACGGGTGTTCTGATCCAGACACACTCTTTCGGTTCGCGCACGCGACTTCGACTCGCGACTGATGATTTATAGCGCAAAGAAGAGGCCCGTATAGCCAAGGAGCGCAAGGAGCTTGCGTGGCGGAGAGATCATGCCTACGACGATGTCATGACAGAGGAGAGTCTGGAGCAAAACTCCAACGAGAACCGCGATGAGAACTTCCTCGACGACTTCATGTGAGGTCTTTACTCGCATTTGTGTGTCCCGCAGATGACGTGGGCACCACAGTAGCAATGGTGTCGGCATAGCGGGGTCGCTTCAACTGGGGTCGCGAACAGTCATGGCTGGAAGGCATAGGCCCATGCTCTCGTTCAACATGCGGATGTTATGGTTGAAGGTATCGTACGCGGTGGTCTTGACCTCGAGGTCCTCACGCGTCCTGAAAGAGTCAGCTGCATGACATTGAAGACGGATGAGAACTGGCTACATACATGGCATTTTTCGGGTTGTGCTTATTGCGACCTCCATGATTCTGTACCCACCATACGAACAGCAGATTCTTCACTATCTTGTGTTCGAGACCGTTCTGCCTAGTCGCATACTGCAGGAACTCGAGCGTGTTCTGTATCCTCTGTGGTTCATAATCGGTCGCGGAGCCTTTACGAAAGGCTAGGCGAATGCGGTCGCGCAATGTATATCGAGCCGGCTTCGAGAACTGGATAGCTCTGAGACTGTGCCGGTATAGGTGCCTATACGCGTGAAGAACTGCTTGCTGTGACATGTTCTGGAGCCCAAGCACAGCACTTCACGCTGTGACCTCGGATGCTGGGTCGGCGGAAGGTAACGCCGACGCGCGCAGCCGCCACCTGCGCTCCCAGTGCCAACCTCGCCAACTCTTCAACACCACAACACGTACCATCCAACACCCCGCCTGTGCCTTTGCATCGACCGGGGCTTGTAGATACGCAATCCGGATTCGTTCTGGACAATTGCACGACATCGTGACTGTTGCGCTTACCGTATTAATCGCTGAACACGCCGTGTCAGGCCACATAGGGTGCTCACTCATCCAGTAGCGACTCATATTGCCCTGGTCCGCTGTGGGATCTATGAACATCATCTGCATACCAGAGCCATGACCAGAGTATATCATCCGCGTGCGCAACAGCCGCCCCAGCGCGGCAGTACGCTTGATCAGTCGCGAGCCGCCGTCAAGAAGAAGAAGCCGTACAAGATCGTGCTGGAAGCGGTAACCCAAGAGAAGAAGAAGCTACATTCCATTGTCCGTCGGCGACGCGATTTCATCGTCATATAACACCACTGACTGTAGAATAGCTGACATACGCGTCGAACGCCCCCGCTGGCTTCGGTTTCATCCCAGCTGGACACCCCGAATTCACAGAATGGTGCAAAGAGCAGTGTCGACAGCGCAACCTTGACGTACACATCGTCTCTGTGAGCATCCGGTCCCTCCCAAGCCAACAGGTCATCCACTGACAGCGTCGCAGGCCAAGCCGAAGAACAAAACCCACTCCGATCCTGAGAAGCTATCCCACCACGTCCACCGAGTCGGACACCACTTTCCTCTCACCATCATCGAACTTGCCTGCAACAAGTTCGGATATCTCTACGATGAGAGACGCGGCCTGCGGAAGGACAAAGAAGGTGACAGAACCAACTGGATAGCCCAAGAGTTTGAAGACTACTCTTCGCGGCAAGTACA